AAGTAGCATGTCTTAATTCCCTTTCACCATATTATAAATTTTTCCAATACTGTTAGTACTCATTATGGCTACTATTATCTCGTTATTAAAACTCTTTTGATACTGCTTAAATTGTACAGGCATACAAAACATGACTTTTCTGCTAAGTTTTTATAGTTAAACCAAACAGGGAAAGATTAATACTGCATGCTATCACTTATATGTGGAATCCTAAAAGAAAGATGTCAAATTCCTAGGAACAGAGCCTTGTCTATAGGCCTGAAGGATCTCTAGAGACCTGATGTGAAAAGATTCACTGTTATCAAATGACAATTATTCAATGAACTCCTCCCTTCATATACCTTTTAATCTAGCTGCTGGCACCAAGAAATGCTTGGGTGTATTCGTCCTTGGATATGTACAAGTTACAAAGTACTTCTTAGTTTTTGTCTCACTGGTGAGAGGCAGAGTAAAAAATGTGGCAGAAAAAGGCTTGGCCTTGATTAGTGATACCAGAAAATGCAAGACATTTTCTTTGAGCTGAGAGAACACACTAGTAAGATCACAAAAGGATACATGTAAGTTGGGATGCCTTTCGCAGCCAGATGTTTCCGAATAAGTCGCTCAGTACCATACCAGTTAAAACCTTTCGTGGCATGTCCAATGCGTGGAAGATGAACACTTGCTGTTAAAGAGGAAAAAAACAGGTTATGATGTCTTCATTCATCAAAAATTTGATTCAGTATAAAATATACATAAGAGAAAACTCCACTCTTAGTCACTTTGTGGTTTCCAACAAACAAAATGTACATAATCATGGGGTACCCCACACAAAGTATAAAATTAGAATGTCAAAAATATTCTAGGGCAGGACTATAATAGGAAGAAGTAAGTAAGTCTATTAAACACAAAGACCTACAGGTTCTGGAAATAAGCCGGTACAATGAAAATAGAGTATGATCAGTGCTGGAGATAAAAAGATTATTATTATTATTATTTTTTAGAGAGGGGGAGGATGAAAAGGGGAGAGGGAGAATATTAAGCAGCATCCATGCTCAGCGCAGAGCCCAAGGCAGGGCTTGATCTCACAACCCTGAGCTCATGACCTGTGCTGAAATCAAGAGTCAGACACTTAACTGACTGACCCACCAAGGTGCCCCAAAATAAATAGATCCTTTAACAAGTCAATCAGTTCAACAAACTCTGAAACACAACGGGTTTAGAAATAAAACTTCACTCTCATTTGGGCTGAGAACTGTCAGCTAATGTGGACTAGATGTGGCTACCCAAGAAGGGAAGTGGTAGGGTAAACAGTATCCCCAACAGCATCTGACCAGATTACTACATCTCTGGTCTTCTGCTTCCTCATCTGTAGAATGAGGACACAAATACCCCAGTGCAGGAAGATGGTCCACAGAGATAGTGAATACAAAAGTGATCTGGAAAGGAAAGGAGGCGAGTCAAGATGATGTGGTGATACTTGTGTGGTCTCTCATACATGGAGGCTTACCTTTACCATATATACTGAGTGAGGTCTTAACATTTCTCACCTCCCTTTAAAAACCCTATCACATGCCTGGAAACAGAAATTCATGTTCTGAAAAGCTTACCTTTCTTTCTCTTTGCTGCTAAATAGATCTTCTTCAGGCCCTCTTCTAGGGCTGCCATCTTAATGCCAGACAGGACATTTGCGTGGTCACGGTGCTGAGCCACAATCAAGGCCAACTAGGAGGAAAAGCCATCACATGGTTGACATGACACGAGAAGGCTGCACTGTCAACTAAGTGACCTACCCATGGAGGTCACTTAGTGACCCCCCATAGAGGGGGCTTCGTCTCCATCTTTTTTGGATGTTCTGTCTGAACCAGGTCCTACCAAATCCATGACTTAATCTTCCATTCTAATTGGTTTATTTTTGTGGTAACTTTATACATAAGCATTTCCTCTTGTTTTTAAGATATGTTAAAACCAGTGTCCAAAACATGCTGTCTTTCCTAAGTGTTCTCAATGGTAAAAGAATTTTTCAGTCTTAGGAGCAAAAAGGACTTTACAGGTTCCTGTATCCAGCCCTCTGGCGGATGCTCGAGTCAGCTCCCAACCCCCATTCCATCTCTGTTCCCGTAATTCCTACCCTGTCCTAAGTGGGGAAGACTGGACAGAGTGTCAAGGGAGTGTCTGGGACTGGCAACCCTACCATCATATGGTAACCAGTTGTAAACAGTTTCCTTGAGTCGCTGGATTCTGAGCGTCTATGCTGTTATCACTGTGTTGCTCATGTTTTTTAGCGTTTTAGAAATGACTGAAAAAATGGCTGAGCAGGCAGAAGCCACTTTGTTGTCAGCCACAAAGACCACCAACCTCAAGAAAATATATGTCCCTTTCAGCCTGGTTTCTAAATTTCTTTTCTAAGTCAGTAAGATTTGGCTCTAAATTGACTATGAATTCAGGCCCTTGATAAAGTCAGGTCAAGTGTGGTTAATAAAACATCTTAGAGGAATTCTAAAGGACTGGTAAGTAAGAGACACTTAAGATGCAAAAGGAGAATTTTTCTTTGAAAGCAAGAAAGCATGAGTTGGGGGAAGGGCAGAGGGAGAGAATCTTAAGCAGGCTCCAGACTCAGCACAGAGCCCGTTGCAGGGCTCAGTCTCAGGACTCTGAGATCATGACCTGAGCCAAAATCAAGAGTTGGACACTTAATTAACCAAGCCACCCAGGTACCCCCAAAGGATAATTTTAATATAAGCGGAGGAAATATGGATCGGCTCCTCTTCTCTGCTTACAGCTGGCTACTAAACACAATCTTTTACACATCTTTTCACATAATGAATGATGAAACACTTGAGGTTTTGAGTCCTGTTTTCTTATTGTTTCCTAAGCACGTCCTATGAGCCGGTACTGTGTGAGGTATCGAGGATGAAATGACAGATTCTACACTCTTGGGAGGAGCCTGCGTAAGGTCGGTACAGAGAACAAGCAAGTCCGAGAACAGTTCCGTGATGGAAAGAAGGGCGATGGAGGGAGTGTGGTGGACTGTGAGGCCTAACATGCTTGTTATGGGTTGAATTCCTATGTTGAAGCCCTAACCCTTAGTACTGAAGAATGTGACTGTGTGTGGAGACAGGACATTTTAAAGAAGGAAATAAGTTAAAATGAGACCATTAAGTGGTGCCTGATCCAGTCTGACTGCTGTGCTTTACAAGGAAAAAATGTGGACACAGACTGAGACACTAGGGATGTGCACACAGAGAGGAAAGACTATGTGAGGAAACATGAAGGTGGCTACCCTTAAGCCAGGAAAGAAGCCTCGGAGGCAATCAGCCCTGCCCGCACCTTAATCTTGGACAGGAGGCCTCCAGAACTGTGAAGAAATTAATCTGTCTTCTAAGCCACTTGGCTGGTGGTGTTTTTTAACAAACTAGAGAGATGATCCCTGAAAAGCAGTGTTGGTGCTGTTCTATTATGGCAGCCCTTGCAACCAATGTGTTGACAGAGAGGCCAGCAGGAACAGGAGAGGTTTAAGAGGAGGTGACATGAGCCAAAATTTAGTTCTGATTAAGAGATTTTTTTTTTTTTTACTTACCAAATCTTGCCCACTGTTTCTTGACTCTTTATCATCAATAGGAAATAAAAGGACGCCTCCCAAATTCAAGTCTGAGGTAAAATAAAAGAGCAACAGACAGAAGGTAAGGTTCACTCTGGACTGAGACCCCTGAAGAGGGACCCTTGTGAATGCCCGACTCCTTTCCTTGTCGGCCAATCAGGTAGCAATCTCATTTTTTCTCACTCTCTTAACCTCAGTCACTGCTTTAGCCAGGAACTCACAGGATCCACCCTTGAGAGGTTTTTTTTTT